TCACCTGGGGGACTTCCCCAAATTTAGCAAAGAAACACTCAGCTAAAAAGAAGATACTAATCAATGGATATTTGTTAAAGGTAGATAGATATAAAATACAGTGTTCTGCATAATATTAATTACCCTAAAAGAAACAATTGGATGGTATGTAAGCATTCACCTAATGTTGTGACTCAGCAGATATCTGCTGTAACTCTTTTCGGGATACAAGATTCATTATGCAGCTGGGGCTTGTGGGAGGCAGGTTTGGAGATAAAAGGACGGATGCTGCCACGCCCTAGTCGCAGGAGTCAACATACGTTCCTTTGTGTGTTCCTTGTTTGGTACAACATTGCTTATTAATCGTGATTCATGGAAGATACACTTGGATAAGTGCTTTGGTGTTTCCTGTCACCCTCATTCGGGGAGACTTTGGAAGAAGTGCATTGCTTGTAAGAGTTTTGTTTTGCATTCTTGTCCGAGACTTGTATTTATGTTATTTTTGGGCTCGAAGCCAGTCTGAGCCGAGAACTGATAAAGAAAAGTTCCTTTTTAAGTTTGTCCTTGCCGTTTGTTCTCAAGCCGTGAAGGGGGGACAGAACACTTTCCCATTGGACATTTGAGGAACAGGTAGACAGGACTTGGGAACAACAACCAATAAGTATTCTAACCCCTGTTGAGTTTAGCAATGAACCAGCTTGGGCAACCCTATACCTCTGTATTGTTTCATATTAGGGTTCCAACATTTGAGGGGCTGCCACAGAGAGGAAGGGGTTGGTGTCAAGGTGTTTTCCAAAGCACCTGAAGGCCAGACAAGGGAGAATGGGTGAAAACCGAGCAAGGAGAGATTCCACCTAGAAATAAGGAGAAATTTTCTGACAGGCAGAATAATCAACTCATGGAACAGAAGTTGCCTCCAGAAGTTGTGGGAGCTTCATCCTTGGAAACTTTCAAGAGAAGAGACAGGACTGCCATCTGTCAGGAATGGTGTAGGGTCTCCTGCTTGGGTGGGGAGGTTGGACTAGATGACCTTCAAGGTCCCTCCCAACTCTTTTATTCTCTCTGTTAAAAGATTTGTAGTTGATACCTGGCGTGACCCATAATCAACCTGGTTGGGTTTGAGGTTCAAATAGCCTTTTATATGTCTGGGATGGGTCTGGAGGTCCATATAATATGGCGAAACTCAAACTAAGCTGGTAAGCAGGTTGGATGAACCTGCCTCTACTGAAGAACTACTGAGAATCCGCGCTCTTCAGAAGATGCGATGGGAAGAGTATGGACTTCAAGAACTTCCTTTTCCACTACAACTTCCTGCCACATCTGAAACCCCAAACTCCTTTGAATAGCTAAGATGTTTCTAATAATATGTCTGTGTTGCATCGTCCAAGACTGGAGTCAGTCCAGGGATATTTTTGCAGAAGATGACTTTTTTGGTGTGGTTTGGTGTTCTATCATGCCATGGTTGCGTAATTCGAATGTTTTGTTGTAGTTCCTTGTCTGTTAACACAGATTTGGGGGGAATTACAGTAGGATCCGGGAGCTGTTTCGTAGTGACAAGAATACACTCGTAATCAACCAGTAAATTAAATCAAATTTGAAAACCACCCTGAGGAATAAAACCAGAAAGTCAAAAATGAGAATGCAGCATGAGTTTTATTGATGAAGGAGAAACAAAAGCATGAATGGGCAATTATCACAGACACAAGTGACATACAAAGCCAACAAAAGAGAAGCAAAACAATGGCAGTTCTCTTTTTCTCTTGGCCCCAAAACTTTGAGACAAGAGAGGAGAAACACCAGTCCAGTGGAAGAAGATGTGCTTCAAAGGAAGTTCTAGAAGCTCAACCTTTTCAGATTTTAAGTCCAGATACCCACAAATGGTTCATCTTCCTGGTCATTCCTGTTAGATCATTCCTAGGTGTAGATCCATCTTTTTTTTTTCAGAGCAATGCAATGACAAGCAGACATTCCCTCAATGTCTTGGAAGACGCCTTTTTGTCCATGTGTCCATGTGCTCCCGAAGCCATGAGGCCAGATTTCACTTCCCTAAAGTACCAGAGATCACACATGGTGCATGTGTGGGATCACAGCTGATGAAGAGAATGGGACCAAGGATGGTCACAATGGGAGCAGGTGGATGGATGATGATCTCAGTTGACAGTGTCTGGTTGATGGTGGAAATGGGTGACACCAGTCAAGGGGGTCTACACTATCTGAGCTTTTGGCCAAAGCACCAGATCCATAACCGTAACCCAAAGGAGGACCTCCGTAGCCAAGATGTTTGCAGAGCTTCTTCCTTGATACCTTCCCTTTAAACCCTAGACTAATCAATTTAGTGGGAAGATAATTTCACAGGAAGAGGTAGTGTTCCTTGATGTAAGTGGCGGTGGGAGTACTGGGAAATAAATACAAGCAATGGGATCAACGTGGAGCAAGCAGAGGAGAATTGTGAAAACGACAGACAGGCCAAAATAGGGTCCAACACGCTTTAGCCAATCTTCTGAAATCCGTTTTTGGTCATGGAGAGTCTTGGTTTACTTAACAGGGAAGGTTACAGAGGCTGCCACGGCGACCGAGACGTCCCAGGCGGCCTCCGTAGACGCCACCGACGCGTCCGTAGCCTCCGAAGCCTCCGGTACCTCCGATACCTCCGGGGGCGCATGGGGTGTTGCCTCCGACAGCCACGGGCTCACAGCTGGCGGACAGGATGGGGCCGGGGATGGTGACCACGACTGCAGGGGGCTTGATGGTCACCTCGGATGGTGGGACCTGGTTGATGCAATTGGGGATGACTCCGGCCAGGGTGCCCAGGCTTCCGGAGCTCTCGGCCAAGGCGCCAGCTCCGAGGCCGTAGCCCAAACCAGAGCCAAGACCGCCATAGCCGAGACTGCCATAGCCGAGACCTGCATAGCCGAGACCGCCATAACTGAGATTGCCATAGCCAAGAGGTCCGCAGCCAAGGCCTTTGGAACCAGCTGATCCGAAGCCAACCACTGGGGCGGAGGCGCAAGAGGGCACAGCACAGGAGGGTCCACAGTCAACCATGGTGTTGAGTTGTGAGGTGAGTCTATTGCACAAAATAGAGAGAGATTGTGAGAATTGCACGCACTACCTTTTACCATCCCATCCCCTGCTTCTTCCGTCAACCCAACAGGATAACTTAATTTTTTTAAAATAGTATTTATTAAATTTTCCAACATTTAAAAGACAATGTCAAGCCCTAATTGATTCATGAGTCTCAAGCCAAGTTTCAATACAAAGCTAGTCGTTTACAAGACAAAAACACAAATGTACACTTGTAACAGCTTTTCCTTATTGGTATCCATGTTTTTTGTAACAATCCTATTTACAAAAATTTATATTTCTATATCATTATCCTAAGTTATATCCTTATTTGTATACTCTCTATACATTTATGCATTTACCCTTTATGCCTTAAGTTTTATGCTTACTCTCAAGCCAGGAATACTCTCCATTCCAAATTTGATAGTACTCGGTTTCTTCCCTCTCCTTCATTTCCATAGACAGCCTATCCATCTCTGCACATTCATAGATTTTCCTTCTTATAATCGGGTCTGGATTGGGGGTATCTCTTTGTTTCCAGTTCTGTGCTAGCACATTTCTCCTTGCAGTTAATATGTGTAATATTATGTATTGTCATTTTTTTCTCCATTTTTCCATCAAGGGTTCCCAGGAGAAACAATTCTGTCTTCTGCTCTATCCTTTGCTTAGTTATCTCTTCCAGGCACTTCCTTATCTTACGCCAGTATTTTCCAGCCTTGGGGAAAGTCCACCAACAGGACAACTTTAACAGGATTTGATTTGCTAGGAGTGGCGTGAATGGTAACCTCTAACTAAGCTTCCTTAACCTAGAATATAGCAGTAGACTTATATACCGCTTCATAGGCCTTTCAGGCCTCTCTAAGCGGTTTACAGAGAGTCAGCATATTGCCCCCAACAATCTG